AAACCTGCTTTGGTTAACATCTTGCTTGTTAATACAGACTCAAAAGCCATTCCCTTTAACCTGCGATCTTTGATGGTCTCATTTATTTGTAATGTTTTCATAGCCATTTTAACAGCTTGGGGCAGTATTGTTTCCAAAGGAAACATTTACAATCCTATATAACAGTGGTTCTCAACCTTCCTAATGCCGCGACCCTTTAATACAGTTCCTCATGTTGTGGCGACCCCCAACCATACAATTATTTTCGTTGCTACTTCATAACTGTAATGTTGCTACTGTTATGAATCTTAATGTAAATATCTGATATGCAGGATGTATTTTCATTGTTACAAATTGAACATAATTAAAGCATAGTGGTTAATGACAAAAACAATATGTATATATGTTTTCCGATGGTCTTAGGCGACCCCTCTGAAAGGGCCGTTCGACCCCCAAAGGGGTCGCGACCCACAGGTTGAGAACTGCTGGTCTACATGGATGAAGGAAAAAGATGCATCTGTGTAAAAGACAGGAAATATGTGCACGTGTGCGCATACACACACACACACACTGGAATATTACCCAGCCACCAGGAAAAAGGACATCCTGCCATTTTCTACAACAGGATGGACCGTGAGGCACTATGCTTCGGAAATAAGCCAGACAGAGAAAGGCAAGTACTGCGTGGTGTCACTTATATGCAAAGTCTAAAAAAACGTCGCAGTCATAGAAACACAGTGCTGGAGTGGTTCCTAGGGCTGGGGCGCAGGAAAATGGGGAGCGGCGATGAGGGAGACTTTCCGGGCAGACGAGGAAGTCCTGACCCAGCCGCACAGTGGCTGCGTGTTAGCCCTGCACGGCACCTGGCCTCGCTGAGAGGAGCCGCCAACGCTCTCCACACCGAAGGACAAGCTGCGAGGTGACGGCGTGTTCGCTCACCGGCTGTGGGAGTTCCTCACAATGTGCGCAGGCCACACCACCACGATGTGCACTAGACAGCTTACCATCTCACTGTCAAAGACACGGCAACAGAGCTTAAAACAAACACATGTGGCCTCACTGCCAGCATTTCCTCTCCGGATATTCTTATCAGCCACTGGCAGCGTGTGAAGTCCAGGTCTTGTTTACTTACCTCACTTAGCACGAGGCTTGTCACCTGAGCCCCCATCCGTCCTCCCCGACACCATCAACATCCTCCTACCCATTAGGCTCTCTCCTGTAAAAGCGTCCAAAAGGTTCCAAACGATAGAACATCATCAGCGTGGCATCCGATGCCCCTGCCCAGGAAGTGCCAGCCACCAGAGAACCACGGTCCCTTCCCAAGCACGGGTGCGAAGACTCACGCGCAGACGCACGCTAACACCCAGAGGAACAGGAGGGTTTGCACGTGTCTTCCCGTGCTCTCCCCTCCCCAGAGTGGGCACGGCCAGGGCCGGGGCTCAGAAGGCTTGGCTCCCTCACCTCAAACGGGGGGAGGCTCCTGGAGAAGGTGAGAACTTGGGGCAGGAAAGCAGGGGCTCGGGGACCCCAATCAGGCCCCTCTGGGATGCAGCCTGGACACCCCCCTCAAACTGCCTCCGACGTAGGTCTCGCTGGGACAGCACAGACCAGAGCGCCCAATGCCTGGAAGTGCGCCCGGCCGGCGTCCCATTAGCACTTACCAGGCCAGCGCTGCTTCCGTGCTTCCCAAGACGTGGCAAGTGATAGAGCTGACCCAGCGGTCGCTTTCCTGCTGGCTCTTCAGAGACCACTGGCCAAACAGTGCTTGCCTGGTCCCACCCCCTGCTGCTGGCCCATCACACCTCTGCCCACCCACCTCGTTCCTTCACATTCCCTCCAAACGCAGCATCTGCTGGCTGCCCAGCCTCTTCTCCGAGGGTCAGCAGGGAGCATAAGTTAAATTAAGAATCACTCCCATGCCCCTTGGGTACCACAGACTCGCTGTACGAGCATCAACGACCACGGGGCGACGCAGAGCTGCAGGGAGCTGCCTGGGTCCTGCCGCCCCCACGAGGCCATGACAGCCCGTGTCTAAAAAGGAATTCTCTATTTCTGTGGCTGTGAAAGCACAGTGCTAAAATAGTCACCGCGAGAAAAACAGCCTGGAATCCAGTCGGTGCTCACAGCAAATATTTATTATGTGAATGGATATAGCTCATGATTTCCCACTGAACATTTTTCCAAACAACAAAAGTAATTTTTAACATTACAGTAAATCAGGGTTTGGTGTGGGTCTCGTGAACTTGTAAAATAACAACTCTTTAACATTTTACAGGTCTGTATAAATATTTCTGTAGGGGTATCTTCACGATGATCTACGTCAGCTCTCACTGACAATCCATCACCCAGGCCACCGCGCGTTTGCAGAGGCGCAGTAGGCTCTGGCGGGTGTCTGTGCAGAACGTGCTGCCGCGGTGAGTCCGCGACTCCTCCTGCCTCACTACTTTCTGAGAGAGGACCCTGAAAATAACCTTTTCTTAAAAAAGATTTTTAATCCTCACCCAAGGATATGTTTTTAAAATTGATTTGAGAGAGAAAAACATTGATGTCGATCAGTTGCCTACCGTACACATCCTATCCAGGGACCAACCCATAACCTGGGTATGTGCTCTGACCAGGAATGGAACCCGAGACCTTTTGGTGCACGGGACAGCGCTCCAGACAACGGGGCCACACCGGCCAGGGCCTGACAACAGCTTACTGTCCGTTAATGTCACTGATGTCGAGAACTTGCTAAAGAAGTAGTTAGTGTCAGTTTGTTAGTGATGAATTACTAATGAATTCTGGTGATCAGATTTGAGGATTTGCACTTAATTTCTAGCTTATTTTGCCATGAAATATGAGGCTGCATTTACAAAAGACTAAGTCATAACAGGTTCCACCGCAATGACTATTAGCAAAATGGAGTCCCCGTAGCTAGGAGTTTTTGTTGTTGTTTTTAAGGTCATGGAAATCGCCCAGGATGGGGCATGAAACAGCAGAGTGGGGTTGGTCTCCCACGAGGCCTGGAAGAGGTAGCTGGGAGCTCCCTAGCAATGCAGGGCGGGGGCTGTAAAGCTAGTCAGAGCCAGCGGCGCCCGGGGGGGCAGGGTTGGCACAGCTTCAAGTGCAGGCGCAGGGAGAGAGAGAGCTCGGAATCGGGCTGCACAATCAGAGCTCCCAGCTCTCCAACCCAAACCAGGGTCTCGACTAGAAACCATGACGAGCAACACCCTAAATAAACGGACAAGGGGTCATCTTCTCCAGCAGGAGTCACACAGGTTGGTGAGGCGACACTGAACCCTCCCTTTAAGAAACACGGCATATTAATTCCGGGCCGTTCTGGTTAGCACACAGCAGCGGGGAACACAAGTTAAATTAAGAATCACTCCCATGCCCCTGGAAAAGAAAGTGGTGAAGGAGAAAAAACCCTTTTACAAAATTCTGGCAGTTTTAGACCAAATGAGAGAAAATTCTACTGTATACTAAACTAAATAAATTTACAGAAGTCACACCAAGAGATTTTATAGTACAAAGTTATAGATTTCAAGAGTAGTTTAAAACAATTTATGAATAAAAGCAGCAAAACAAGGTTCTGAAGGGAAGCTAATAAACTGGGTGCTGTCCCCCAGCTGAGAGGCCCTGGCCCCAAATATGAGGCACTGGTCCCAGCTGAGAGGCCCCGGCCCCAGATATGAGGCACTGGCCCCAGCTGTGAGGCACTGGCCCCAGCTGTGAGGCCCTGGTCCCAGCTGTGAGGCCCTGGTCTCAGCTGTGAGGCACTGGCCCCAGCTGTGAGGCCCTGGTCCCAGCTGTGAGGCACTAGCCCCAAATATGAGGCACTGGTCCCAGCTGTGAGGCCCTGGTCCCAGCTGTGAGGCACTGGTCCCAGCTGTGAGGCACTGGCCCCAGCTGTGAGGCCCTGGTCCCAGCTGTGCAGCCCTGGTCTCAGCTGTGAGGCACTGGCCCCAGCTGTGAGGCCCTGGTCCCAGTTGTAAGGCCCTGGTCTCGGCTGTGAGGCCCTGGTCCTGGCCCCAGCTGTGAGGCACTGCTCCCAGCTGTGAGGCGCTGGTCCCAGCTGTGAGGCCCTGGTCCCAGCTGTGAGGCCCTGGCCCCAGCTGTGAGGCCCTGGCCCCAGCTGTGAGGCACTGCTCCCAGCTGTGAGGCACTGGCCCCAGCTGTGAGGCACTGCTCCCAGCTGTGAGGCACTGGTCCCAGCTGTGAGGCCCTGGCCCCAGCTGTGAGGCCCTGGCCCCAGCTGTGAGGCACTGCTACCAGCTGTGAGGCACTGGCCCCAGCTGTGAGGCACTGCTCCCAGCTGTGAGGCCCTGGTCCCAGTGTGAGGCCCTGGTCTGGAGGTGCAATTGCACCTGCTCACACAGCCAGAGACGGAGCCAGGTCGGCCAGAATGCTGCCCAGCATTTCTTACGTCCTAAGTCAAACATCCCAAACGATGCCAGGGCTCAGCGATGCTATGTTATACGAGGTATGACGTTGTCTAGAATCTGCTATTACAGGGCCCCTGGATCTCAGAACCCGCCTGCCTACAATACAAACATGGTTTCAGTTTAACACACACAAGTACATTCTCGTACAAACGTTTGAGGTAAACGTTCCTCAAAACCCTTTATCTATTGGCACCTTTTGATGCACACCTGTCTTCTCAGCATCAGAGCGGAGTGAAGCCTCTGCCGGGCTGAGCGTCCCGGCGGCAGCGCCCCTCGTCTCAGGGATCCCAGGGGGCGGGAGGCCCGACCTGCAGCCTCGAGAACCACCTGCTGGGCCGGAGAGCTGAGCGCAGGGCGTGTCCCGGGGCGAGGTGCCTGTGCTATGCCTCCAGCTGCTCAGCGCGTACACCCTACAGCAGGACTAGTGACCGTAACTTTTCAACCAAGTCCCTTGGAAACGGAAATATTGTGTCTCAACAAATCAGGGCTCCACTTCCTGCCATTTTATTAATGTCCAACCTACTGTGCCAAGCAAGTATTTCAGGTGAAAGCAGCCTCTTCTCCCCATTTTAAAGCAGGAAGCTGCAGACTTACCCTTGGCCTCAGCTACGAGATGAGTGGCCACACCAGAACGCCTGGCGGTGACTCCAGCAGATCACACCTGCGCAGGGACGGAGCAGCGGCAATCCTCCAGGCTCCCAAACCCAACTCCCACTTCCACAGGGCTCTGCTCTGGGAAACCTCTTGTAGTAAAGGCGCAGAGGCGATCTGAAAAGAAACAGAAAATAACACATTAGGACGCTGCTTGTTTGATTTTAAGTAACTGCTTGAGAAATAACTGCTTATTTACCTGAAACAAATATTTTTAATAAACCCCAGAAGAAAGTTGCCTTGTACCTAATGACCTCTACCCAAACAAAACTGCTCCCACCTCCCCACCTTCTAGCCGCCAATCAGATGGAGGCCACCGTCAGCGAGGCAAGGGATGGAGAGAATGGGGACAGCAGGCCATAAAACAGGGACCTAGGTCCCAAGTGTATTCAGACTCCCTACCCCCTGCTCCCCACCCATACCTGCGGAGCTTGCCATAACAAAAGGGAGGCTGCCCCCTGGGAAGGAAGCCAGTCTGGGCGCTGAGGCGGCCACTGCAGAGAGCACTGACATTACTTAGATGCGATCCTGTCTTGGAGTCTCTCGTCCCGGCCATTTATTGAGAGGCCAGCTACGGGGCCCGCGGCCTGGTGCTAAAATCATCCCTGCAGGAAATCTGAGAATAACATCCCCAGAAATACCAGGGCCTTGTGGCGAGAAGCCGGCGGCACTGCAGCCTCTCCCCCCTGCTGGGCAGTCTGCTCTCCCCTCACCTTCCCTCCACTGGGGGAACTACTTTCAGTCCTTGCCTGGCATTTTCCAGGTCCCTGAAGGTCTGTGGTGCTCCCACTGAGTTCACTGCCATTGTTAATTACATTTCACACCCAGAGGGGATCTGTCTTGACAGTTCCCTCAGAGATCTATTAATTCATCCCTGGCTTGATTATGGCCCAAAGTGTTACACACCCCACAGAAAAATCGAGTTCTATTTCAGTCAAGTAGCAAAAAGATAATCCGAGTAGGGCTATCATAAAAATGTTACCAAGGCAAGTTCATAAATTTTTATTAAAAACTTCATCCCATTTTATATATTCTCTAGCATTATTTTAGAGGGTACATGCTTTTTATTTAAAAATATGATTAAATGCAAGGAAAAGGTGATAACCAAACACAATGGGAAGACTAGATTTGGGCAAGACGTTAGATGTATACCAGGATGGAAATGGAGATTGAAAATGGCGACAGAAATAAGTGGATGCTACACAGACACCCATCCAGGACCAAATTAAAATTATAACTAAAAATACATAAAACAAACAAATAAACAAAAAAACCACCCTGAATAATCAACTGGAGAGAACCCTGATAACCAAGGATGGAAAGTGAAGACCACTAGAGGCTGGTAGGTGGGGGGAGGCACGAAAGGGCTGGGGGCGCCCACAGGCAGCAGCTGAAGTTCTGGAGCGATATCTCAGCTGTGGGGGGTGCCACTGAGAACTCTGGGGCCTAATCTCCAAGCAAGCCCCCCCCCCCCCGCCCCCAGCAAAAAGCACCAGAACTGAGAAAGGTGCCCACATATCTGGCTGTGAAAAGCACTCTGCTAGGGAGAGAGGGCTGGCAAAGCAGGCACCCTCTTAAAGGGCCAACACAAAATTTAGTGTGCAGCCACTCCCCTGGGGCTCCAGCAGAGGGAGGGCAGAGTAGACTGGAGCTGTGTGAGCAGAAGTCAGGATCCAGGGCTCTGAAGTTAGAGCTCGGAAGGCAGACACCCTGGTTTCCTGTGCTAAGTTATTCCCTCACGCTGCAGAGGTCCACTTTCTCAGGCAGGCCTTTGCAATCCAGGTGGGTTTTGCCTGGGGGAGAAGACAGTTCACCCACCCTATTGGGAAACCCCTTACTCCATGGTGTGGCTTTCTGAGGCCCATTAAGAGATTGAGAATAACTATTAGCCTCCAGGTAAAAGCAAGGGCCCCACCTGTTGGAAAACCTCTTGCCACACCCGTGGACGATTGCCTGAGGACTACTGAAGACTAAACCAATCAGTCTTCGGGCAGAGGCAGGTCTCTGGAGGCTTTGAGTATTTGCCTGATCTAATTAGTCAGAAACAGTGTTTGACACTGTCCTGCAGTAGAGATTGGAAAGTGTAACAGATCTACCTAATACACAGTCACAAACCCAAACAGGCAGCCAAAATGAGGAGCCAAAAAAAAAAGCCCCAAATGAAAGAACAAGAGAATTCTCCAGAAGAAGAGATAAATGAAATAGAGATAAAACTATGTGATAATAGAGTTCAGAATAATGATGGCAAAGATGCTCAACAGCATGAGAAAAGATATAGTAACTATGAAAAAGAACAGTCGGAAATAAAGAATGACATAACACAAATAAAACATTGGAAAGAATACACAGCAGATTAGGAGAAGCTGAGGATGGGGTCAGCGAATTAGGGAAGAAAAATCATCCAATCAGAGAACCAAAAAAAAAAAGAAAGAATTAGAAAACAAGAGGACAGTCCTAGTTGGTTTGGCTCAGTGGATAGAGTGTTGGCCAGCAGACCGGAAGGTCCTGGTTTTGATTCCGGTCAAGGGCACATGCCTGGGTTGCAGGCTCAATCCCCAGCTGCAGGAGGCAGCTGATCAATGAGTCTCATAATTGAAGTTCCTATCTCTTTCTCCCTCTCCCTCTCTGAAATCAATAAAAATATATTTAAAAAAACAATATTCACATAATAGGTGCACTAGAATGGGGAAGAAAGGGAGTAAGGGAGAGAGAACATGTTTGAAGAAATAATGGCAGAAAACTTTCCTAACCTGGTGAAGGAAAAAATCACACAAGTTCAGGAGGTATAGAGACTCAAGCAAGAAAAACCCAAAAAGGCCCATGCCCTGACACATCATAATTAAAATGCCAAAAATGAAAGACAAAGAGAGAACCTTAACGGCAGCAAGAGAAAAGCAATTTGTTACCTATAAAGGAGCTCCCATAAGGCTGTCAACTGATATCTCATCAGAAACTCTAAAGGCAAAAGCATGAAGCACTCAAGGTAATGAATAGCAAGGATCTGAAACCAAGGTTACTATATCCAGCAAGGCTCTCATTCAAGAAGGTGAAATAAAGAGCTTCCCAGACCAAAAAAATAAAAAAAAAAGGGGGGAGGGGAGTTTATCACCACCAAGCCAGCATTGCAAGAAATGCTAAAGGCAATGATATAATGAAAAGAAATGGAGAGTGAAACCTAGGCATTCATAATTAAAATGGCAATAAATAAATACCTCTTAATAATAAACTTTAATGTAAACGGATTAAATACTCCAAACTAAAAGCATAGGGTGGCTGAATGGATACAAAAACATGACCCACCTATATGCTGTCTACAAGAGACCCATCTCAGAAAAAAAGTCTCACACAGGATGAGAATGAAGGGATGGAAACAAATTTTTTCCATGCAAATGGAAACAAAAAAAAAGCTGGGGGAAAAAAGAAACAAAATAAAGCTGGGGGTTAATATCCAAAATATATAAGGAACTTTCGAAACTTAACAAAAAGAAAACAAACAATCCAATTAAAAAATGGGCATAGGCCCTAGCTGGTTTGGCTCAGTGGATAGAGTGTCAGTCTGTGGACTGAAGGGTCTCGGGTTTGATTCCAGTCAAGTGAACATGCCCGGGTTGTGGGCTTGATCCCCTATGGGGGGGGGGGGGGGTGAAGGCAGCCAATCAATGATTTCCTCTCATCACTGATGATTCTAACTCTCCCTCTCCCTTCCTCTCTGAAATCAATAAAAATATATTTTTAAAAAATGGGCAAAGGACCTAAATAGACACTTCTCCAAAGTGGACACACAGATGCAAATTAAAATGAGAAGGTATCACCTCACACCTGTTAGAATGTCTGTCTACCATCAACAAATGGCAATTATTGTAGAGGATGTGGAGAAAAGAGAACCCTAGTACACTGCTGGTGGGAATGCAGATTGGTGCAGCCATTATAGAAAACAGTATGAAATTTCCTCAAAAAATTCAATATGGAACTGCCATTTGACCCAGTGATCCCACTTCTAGGAATCCAGCATAGCAGCACAAGAACTGGAAACAGCCCATGTGCCCATCAGTAGATGAGTAGATAAAAAAGTGGTGGTACATTTACACCATGGGATACTATGCAGCAGTAAAAAAAAAATTAAAAAAACAAAAAGGATCTCTTACTCTTTGAGACAGAATGGATGGACCTGGTGATTATATGCTAAGTAAAATAAGCCAGTCAGAGAAAGACAAGTATCACATGATCTCACTCATATGTGGCATCTAGTAAACACAATAAACATGAATGGAGCGGATCCAGGGACATGGAAGCATGGAACAGCCTGAAGCATCTCAGAGGGAAGGTGGGGGAGGGTAGGTGGTGGGAAGTGGTCAACCAAAGAACTTGTATGCATATATGCATAACCCATGGACACAGACAACAGGGTGGTGAAGGCCTGGGGCAGGGGGAAGGGGTGGGCTAGAAAGGGTCAAGGGGGAAAAGAGGGGACATATGTAATACTTCCAACAATAAAGATTTTTTTTTTAATGTATACCAGGTTGATCACACCCTTCTCTCTGCTAAGTGTTTACAGTAAAATGATAGGTTCTTTCGAAATGGGAATTTTCATGTCTGGCCTGACACCTGGAACACGGGTTCTTATTTCTCACTTCTGACCTTACATAAGCCACTTACTAAAGAAAACCACCAACCCTAACCGGTTTGGCTCAGTGGATAGAGCGTCGGCCTGTGGACCGAAGGGTCCCAGGTTCAATTCCGGTCAAGGGCATGTACCTTGGTTTCGGGCACATCCCTAGTAGGGAGTGTGCAGGAGGCAGCGATCGATGTTTCTAACTCTCTATCCCTCTCCCTTCCTCTCTGTAAAAAATCAATAAAATATATTAAAAACGGTAAGCAGCCAAGCCCACCAACACGACCTCCCTCCATATTGGTGTATTCAGTGGTTCTTTCAGACATAAGTTGTATTTGAAATTTTTAATTGAAAAGTAAATTTGCCTGATGTCAGATCCCCATGGCCCAAGGCTGGGCAGTTGGTGTGCTGTCTGGGTTGTCCCCGTGGGGCCTCCCTTTGCACGCACCGTGCTCTCAGGAGCGCTGCATTCAATCCTCCCAATACCCTGACAGGACAGGTACTC